ACAGCTATAGTCTGCCAATCTGATCAGTTGTAAAGGTGTCTTGATCTGCTAGCCTGTCATGTGGATTCTGTATCAACAAGCGAAAATGTGTCAGGATGGCTTTCAGCTTTCTGTTGTTTCTTAGTGTTACTGTTCTTCAGTGGGTTTCCTTGGAGAACCCATTATTTCTAGTTTTGTACTTTGTTTCTTTGTGTTGAGCAATTGTCACTCCTGTATACCAGTCAGAAATAAGTTTCAGTTCAATGTTTATATTATGTGTGCTTCCTGTGTGCTCAGGACAAGAAGACAACTGTTGTTAAAATTGGTAATTTTATTTAACTAACAAGTGGATCCCTTCACCACCTAAATGAATCAACTACCACTGAACATTTAGTAGTTGACAAATAACATGCATGAGGTCCCACCGAGATTTGAACTTGGATTATTGGATTCCATGTCTAGAGTGCTAGTCATTACGCCATGGGACCCACGAAGGAAAGGGTTTACAGACAGATTTTGGAAGCAGATTTGGATGAAAACTTTTCTTTATCGAAGATAAAATCCAACTGTCAGGAGTTGGAGTTGAACTCCAACTTTAACACAGTGCCTTAGAACACTTGGCCATCCTAACTAAACAAAAAAAAAAAAGCATTTGAATGAGCTGATGCCTAAGACTGAACGATTCACAAAACAGCTTAAGTCGAGAAGGTAACAGCCAACAGTTAGTTAAGATGTCACCTTTGTTCAAGATATTGTAGAGGAAACCGTTTTATTTTATGACAGTAAGTGTTTGAATGACATGTAATACTCATACTCATGCTAAAATACCTCTATACAACTGCTGTCAGTGAATACTAGCGTATCCAGGAGTGTTGGGTACTGGAATCCATGTTGGGTATGTAATGAACACATACTCTGTAGTTTTATCCTCAGTTCTTTACAAATGCTGACAAAACTGCACTCCTGACAACATGTGTGCCTCCTGTGCGCTCAGGACTAGAATAGAACTGTCATTGGATGTTTTAAGGTACTAACAAGTGGATCCTCTCACCACCTAAATGAATCAACTGCCACTGAACATGTAGCAGGTGATGTGAAGAAGGAAAGGAAAGTTAACAAATAACAAGCACGAGGTCCCACCGAGACTTGAACTCAGATCACTCGATTCAAAGTCCAGAGTGCTAATGATTACACCCACACCATAAACGGTTTACAGACAGATTTTGGAAGCCACACAATGTGATCTCATCAAATGAAATTCTGCATAACACTGTAAGATGCTTTGGATGAAAGCAAACTAAAACACTCTAGTTTTAACAAGTGATTAAAATATATTTTAATGGTAAAATGCTGATATAGTATTTTTGTTGTATTTTTTTCTTTTTTTCAATGTAGCAATCAGAAATATTGTCAGAAGGCAAAACAAAAGGCCCAACAGATTTGCCAAGTGGACCATTACAGCTTTTGTTATACTGGTCCACTTTATAGTCATATTTTATTAGAATTTGATTAGGATTTTTTTTTTATTTTGAGTTAGTAGACTCAGAACAGACAAGATGGGGGGAACAGGGGAGAAGAAAGAAAGAGGGGAGTGGAGTTGAGGAGAACGTTAACAGAAGAAGAGGGAGATAAAAATAGAAAAGAAGAGAGAGAAAAAAACACTGAGCAGCACACGGTATTAATGATACATGTTTAGAGGCAGCAGCCGACCAAGATAGTGTGTCTGTGGATACCTGTTTGTACACTTGTGTGTGTGAGCACACTTGTGTTCATAAGGTTACTCAATTTAACTATTTAACAGGTAGGTGTGGGGAGCCACAGCTTGCCCCCAAGGACATGAAGCAGGCATGGAGGAGACCTGGGCCCCAAATATCAAGAGGCCCCCCAGAGCACGAGAGGCCCAGGAGGATCACCGCAGGGGCAATCGTGACACCCAACTAAAAGAGAGCCAAGGAGAGCCCTAGACAGGATTCACCCAGCAGCCAATGTGCAGAGCTGTCAACACTGACAGTGAAACAATCTTCTGAGTGCTTAGTATTAGGGTTTTATCATTGTGTTTTTGAAGGAGATCAGTCCTCAGCACTGTACTTCCATGTGTCCTACACAGTGCATTGCTCTCCGATTTTGCTACCAACCTTCTGATATTGTACACAGATCTTTACTTTATTTTCAGAAAAGCTCATTTATATTTGTTTGGTTTAACGCAACAATAGGAGTGTGCCTTGAACCCACACCTCCAGAGGAGAGTGCACCCTTAACACAGCATCTTAGACCTCTCGCATCATAGCATGGGCTCTGGTCTGATTGTTTGGAAATACTACCACACTGTGGAAGCCTGACAACATAATTTCACCTGAATCATAAAAAAGAATAAAATCTGACATATTAACTTAAACATTTTTATAATGGTAACATTAATAATGGCAAATGAACAGAAGTCAGCACTGATTGTAATAGCACTGTTCAAAGAATGACAAAAATGTCCCAAGTGTTGTATTTATTATGTTATTGATATTTTAATACATTTAGTTTAGTTTTGTAAATATGCATTAAAACACTATTATACCTCTTTGTGGGCAAGATT